CAATTTTAAATTAGTTGAAAATAAATCCAGGATCGTGGTAAATCAACCAATTCATAAATGGAATAATAAAATTTAAATTAAAACAATTATACAAAAACTCATTTGCATTTCTGATTTCGCTAGCTATGCTATATTCAGTAATTTATGCAATTATATTTGCAATTTGATCATTTTAATTTTAGACATCTAACTCATAATTGCGCTTTAATTTATAATACAATATATATAATAATTGTGGACACAACAAGAAAATTGAGAATAATCTTGTGCGAGGGTAGGGACCCAGATGTCGTTTCTAACCCAAATAAACTTTAAGGAGGCTTCTCATCAGTAGCCGCACCTCCTTACTCGGTTTCTGAACTGGAATTCTATGGGCTTCCAGACGGCCAGACCGTATATTACCATCCCATCCTTCTAGAGTTCATCACAAGTAGCACCCACCTTGAAGATCTTTGACACCCAGACACACCCCATTGGCGAACAAACTTTGGATATAATCTTACATGCTCCCGAAGGAATCCCTGGTTTATGGTCTTTCTCATCGTCACCAGCACTTTCACTAGGTCACCAGCTCTTTCATAATATATATTATAGTAAAACAAATTTTTAGTAAAACAAATTTAAATTTTGGTATTTATTAATAACAATCAAAACATATCATATCATAAAAATAAAGCCGCGCGTTGGTTGACTGCCTCAGTATGGTGAATAATTTAAGCTTGAAGGTGCCCTGCGCATTTACAGAACATTATGCGGCGATCACATGATCACGAGGACCTGTGAGCGCCAAATTTAATTTAAACTTTCTAGAAATCGTACATCACTACGAGTTACTCATGCTTTTGAATTATAGGAGTGCGGATTGTCATGTATTTCATTCATTCATACTTAATCGGTTTAAAGCTGTATATTTAGAGCTCACTATTGTTTGAACTATGAAAGCAGAACGTAAATAATGGACAATATACCGACGACAATACCAAGGACCCGAGTGCCGCATTGACTTTTCCGGATCCGTTTTTACCGAAGGCTTATCCACCAGTTACTCATGCTGCATGTATAGTCTGATAATATTTTGTTTTATCTCTAGCAAGCATTCTGTAAGTTGGAGTGTCGTATTTATTATAGAAGAGCCAGCCAACCTCCGCATTACAATCTTTTGTATGCCAGGTTCGTTTATAAAATCTAATCATATAATAAGATTGATCCAATAGTCTAAGATGAACGGTATATCTTAGCTCATCGTTATTAAAATCCTAATGGATGAATTAATCAAGTAATGTTCCCTTCCAACACAACTAAACAACAAACAAATGCTTGCTCACCAGTGGTGACGCAATCGTAGGGGCATGCAGTTGGTTCAGATAACTCTCACCCCGACGACAGCGTCGAGAAATTATCAAATGATGCATTTGCGCCATACTGGACACATTTTATATTTAATATTTTGTGGTTTGTAGAAATTAGTGTCATCTAAAGTATAGCTTAACTGGCGAGCAAGCATCGTCCCACTCGGCGGGGACGAAAATACCGAGTCCAATCACAGAAAGTTAACCAAAAGATAAAAACAAGAGCTCGGATATCAACAAAAATCACACGCTCCAGACGACGGGGGAAGAGAGGATAGGAAGTAAGCTGCTGGGCTCAACAAATTTTGATAATTGTAAACAAATTTGTTCTTGTGCCCTATAATAATTTGGTATTGAGGTATGACCCTGTACTGTGCGTGATAGTGAAAATGAAAGTGAATGTGAATCTGTAATGCGAACGAAATGAGTTATGGCCAGACGATTCTTCAATTTCAAAATAATAAAGTCAAAGGACTCTGTTTTAAAATACAAGCTCATTCTTATCGAAGTTTAATTCTGTCCATTCTAAATCTTCGTACCTGGACTGTATCTTGAGTAGCTCACTTTTCAGTGTTACTTTAACTAAGTTCGTTGACTTAGTAAAGCTTATCATACTGTCAATTTTTCGACAGTCGTTCCACATTTTTGTTGATTGATAAATGAAAGAGGAGGATGGGTTTGGGGTGATGAACTGGTCTGAACGTCTTTGTGATGGTGATCTGTGGAGTAAAGATAGGAGTGAGATTGGAGATTCTAATCTGACAATTTTGAACAGTTCTAATAGACATGTGTATTTGTACAGGTTGTGGACGGTAAGAAGGCCGTTCTTGTTAAACAACGGCTTTGTATGCTCTTTTTCAAAGAATTCTCTTCCTAGGATTTGTTCATCTATACAACGTGTTCTGGCACATGTTCTAAATTTATCTAGATATGCTTCAAGGTCACCAAATAGTATTCTGATACATTTTTTCTGAGTGATGAAGATAGGTTGAAGCATATTATTACTCGACCCACCCCATACCGATATTCCAAATCTTAGGTGTGACTCAAATAACGTGTGGTACAATTCTTTATGGTGTTTTTTCGGGATAACGTGTCGTATTCTACTGAGTCTTCCGATCTCACACCTAAGTTTCGAGTTGAGGGCTCTTATTTGAACATCCCATTTTAGCTTTTCGTCAATAATAACACCTAAAAACTTGGTCTCTTTAACTTGCTTTATTACCGTATTATTTAGAGTTAGTATATATTCTGATTCGTTATCTGCCTCATTATCAGTAGCTGTACGTGACGGATTGAAGTGAATGTAGCAGCATTTCTTTATATTTATATGTAATAGATTGCATTTCATGTACTGGTGTAACAAACGGAAAATTTCGTTTGCTCTTGCATACAGTTTTTTTCTACATTCATCTACTACGAATATGTTTGTGTCATCTGCAAATAGTATGAACTTGCCCAGATCAGTTGTTCTAAATAAGTCGTTAACATATATTATAAATAGCAAGGGTCCGAGACAAGAGCCTTGAGGAACTCCAAAGAGAACAGGCAGCTTGTCAGACTCTTCGCCCAGTACAGAGACATATTGATATCTATTAGAGAGATAACTAGCGATGAGTCTATTGGCGTTTCCACGTATTCCATAGTTGTCTAGTTTATTAAGTAGTTTTTCATGTGAGATCGTGTCAAACGCTTTAGATATATATATATATATATATATATATATATATATATATAATATACAATATATATGTAATAGATAATTTATAATAGAATGCTTAAATAAAAATGTTTCTGCTTCGACGAGCCGCGCGAATAATCATCATTTATATTGTTTCGCTTTGGTAGCGGAGCTGCAACCTGCAAGAATAAATTAGTATAGGCATTGTCAATAAATCCAATGCAATGCAATTAGTAACAAATGACAAACATGTCATATATTTTGTATTTATAAAATGATTATGATCTCTGAGTAACATATAATTTTATTTAATATATATCAAATTTGCGAAAATAATTATTTTATGCGCGGAGCACGGCCCAGTAGTGCATTGCCACCATTGCGCTTAATACCATATTCTCGTTGCCATTCACATTTAATTTACATATTAGTTACTGTGTTAACGGGTGATACTCGTAAAATATTTGTTCCATATATTAGATAGGACCGTCGCGACGAGTCCAACTCGGCGCGCGTCCTGGTAGGTTGTAAACATACAATTACTGGGTCGCGCTCAGCCTGTCATTCCGCCGAATCTCTATTATATTATGTTTATAAACATAACAGCCTGAGGTCCCCATGTAACATAATAACATATTAGTTGTTTCTTATAATTGAAATAAAAACGGGCAGTTGCAGTTGTCTTTGATGTCGAAATCACGCTTTTTACATTATTTGGCTGTGCCGCGCATACTCATACAGTAATATGAATCATGAAATCAGAATCGAGCGCCTTCTTTAACTTAACGTTGATGGTACGACCACCGTTTTCGTTATGTATGCACAAGTGCTCTACTTTAAATTCCACCATCCCGCCCTACGATGTAGGACAGGGAAATATCTGACAAAAAGGAGCAAGGGAAAAATGATCAACGGTTAACGAATTTTTACCAACTGTTGAAAAAGGACAGACACATATTATATCTTATATGACGTTCATCATTTATATTTTAATCTCTTTCCCTATGTTGCGACGTACAGAATTAAACTGTTATTGTGTAACAACTTTTTTAACAGTAGCATAAAATGAAACATTATTTGAAGTTTGTTTATATTGAAGTGTCCTGGTATAAAACATTGGCGCAACGTTACCTGTTTTGGACAAATTAGGTGATTTTTGAGGATATGCCGGTAAAATATCTGAAAAGGTGTGTTTCTAGAGCAAAACGTGGAGTTTTGCTAGTACCTCGTTAAGTTTTTCAAAATTGTACCACATACAAACGACAGCAGGGTCAGCGGGGCCCTTCGTTACGCCACTGCTATAGAACTTATTAAGTGAAAAACTGCAGTGCCCTGGTGATTGACACTCGAGTCAGTAACATCATCAAAGTGGTAATGGTGGTGGTGGTGGTGGTAGTGGTGCTGGGTTACCAGATCTTAAGGTTGTCACAGATTGATTTGTTGGATTCAAGATGCAGAATTAGCTTCTTTTTAATAACATGTTTATTGTTACTTCTTAAAGGTTATAAATGTACCTTAGCATTGTCAATAAGATTTTTCCACTAAGAACTTTACTTCTAGAAAGTATTTTTAACTGACAAATGCAGCATCATAAAATCTTTGTGATACAAAACGTAAAACATACAAACATAGTTTTTGACATTAAAAAACGTATACTATACATTCTTTATAATTCATACTTTTCACTGATGACACCAATATGTTTGTAGTCGACAAATCTGTCCAGAATCTCCACCAAAAAGTTAATGCTATCATGAATTCTGTTTACAATTATATGAAATTATAGCATTAGCTTTTATAAATAACGCCGCGCTACATCCGAGAACCAATAATTTATATTCTGTATATCTTACATAACGCAAATTGTTGTGTCACACTCCAGGCTTTGGACCACGATGTTAACCTTGCAGCAGCTGTGTCAGCCCAATATAATCTAAAATGATCCCACCTAATACTTTCGGCGCTGCTGTATAACAAATAATTTGAGTTCAGGGATAGAATGATTTAACGCCCCCAAAGGGGAGTTTGTAAGTTTTCTTGTTGATTTATTGCTGCGATTCTTGTGTCTTTGCTGTCCGACTCACTTGAAGATCTTATCTCATCATGTCAGGTCAAAAGACTGCTGGCATCAAACCCCCTGGTAACAGGCGAAATTCAGGCGCAAACACCCCTACAGACACAAAAGACAGGAAAACAGCCAAGAAGTCATCTCTGAAAAAGGACGTAGATGTGCTGCAGACTGCCTTAAATGCGATTCCAGCTGGAGATACCCCTGCCCTGCTCACCAACCACAGAGACCTAGAACAATGCCCTTGTGGCAATTCTTCGGATGCATGGAAGATTGACTGTTCAAAATGTCACCAGTTCTGGCATGTGGATTGTGTAAGCATGAAGGGCATGGGACAGTCCCAAATCAACAAACTGGTAGAATATCTATGCCCATTCTGCTATGTAGCACCAATACCAACCATAAATCATGACCTCGACCTCTGCCATGTCTGTAGAAACACACTCACGATCCAGCAAGCCAACAGTGTTCATGAAATAGGAATAGCAAGTGAGAAGCTGGAACAAATGGCATCATTTGGTGACCTGCTCAACAAAGTGAACTTTGACAACCTCAAAGATGGACTATTGGCCATACAGAACCTCGAGCTACATGTTCAACATATATTAATCAGTGAGGAAGGTCTGAAGCATCACCAAAACAAAGTGAGTAAGATAGAGGAACATATGAGTGAAATTGCTAAGCTAAAAGCATCAGAGGATGGTTCAATCACTGACATGGTAAAACAGACACATCAGTTGGTTGAACAACTCCAGAAGATCAGTGATAAGCCGGAGGTAACATCTCACAAGAACGAGGAGCTAATGAAAAGGATCGAAGACAAGCTCCAGGCACTAACCGAAAGTGAGACAACTTTTCAGACCCAACTTAACAGTTTAGGTAGTCAAATACAGGATCTTAAAGCATCTCCTCAATCCAGAGCACCACTTGTGGCTGAGAAACACTCTCCTCCACCACATACTCTCTTACAACCTGACCAGCCTACCCCTCATATAGCACATGACCAGGTGCCTGTAACGGAAATCAAGCCAGATTTCATTCTGTCAACTGAATCTGATAAAATTACTGCCTTTCTTCAGTCATGTTCCTTCGAATCAGAGAACGGTCACTCTGTCATTTCATTTGGCAATCCCTACCACTACACTGGTTCAAAATCTTCAAAAAATGAACTACTCTGTAGAACATATAGAATCGTTAATTAGTAAAAAGCAACATGTCCTAGGGGTCTTCATCGATCTCTCAAAAGCCTTTGACACTCTAGATCACTGTAAACTAACTACTAAATTAAAAAACTACGGTATAAGAGGGAATGCTCTGAATCTTATCTCTAGTTACTTGTCTAATAGGAAACAATTTGTAAATGTTCTAGATACCAAATCTGATGAATTACCGGTCGAATTTGGAGTCCCTCAGGGTAGTGTATTAGGACCTCTACTTTTCCTACTGTATATCAATGATATTTGCAGTATAACTAATAAGGGTAAATTTGTCTTATTTGCAGACGATACTAATATATTTGTCGCTGCCGATTCGAAAAATAAAGCATACGAATTGGCTAATGAAGTACTACAGGCCGTAAACAAGTATATGGGAGTTAACCTACTGCACATTAATGTAAAGAAGTGTTGTTATATGTACTTTTCTCCCTCTAAACGTGATAATAGCGAATTAAATGCAGATATAGATAGCCAAAACTTGTCCATAAATAACAAAATAATTAAACGTGTAAGTCAGACAAAATTTCTTGGAGTAATCATTGATGATAAACTGAGCTGGAAACCACACATATTATCTCTCAATAAGAAACTAAGTAGTGCTTGTGGACGTATCTACCGTATTAAGAAATGCTTGCCAGAATCACTATATAAGCAAATATATCATTCCCTCTTTGAATCACACCTAGGTTATGCTATTTCTGTCTGGGGAGGTATTCCCAATAATCAGTTGAAACCGCTATTTATTACTCAAAAGAAGTGTATCAGGATTCTCTTTGGAGACTTTGAAGCCTATGTAGACAAGTTCAAGACATGTGCTAGAGCTAGACCAATTAATTCTCAACGTCTAGGATCTGAATTCTATGTTAAAGAGTCCACCAAACCTCTATTCACAAAACACGAACTACTTGCTATAGAGAACCTATACAGATACCGTTGTTTAATAGAATTGTTTAAGATCATTAAGTCACGAGTACCAATTTCGTTATACTACCTATTCGGCTTATCAAACAGGAAAGATAATTTGTTAATCACGCCCTCTCCAACTAATCAATTTATGTACAAATCTGCATGGCTGTGGAACGAATTTCGTAAAGTTGGGCCGATGAATTTCACCTCCCCTTGCAGCTCTGTCAAGAATTTGCTTAAACAGTCACTTCTAAGAGCTCAAAACAGGTATGGAACTGATTGGTGTGACAAAAATTTCACTGAATTCTGAGTGAGAAGTGATACTTGCCTGTTATTCCCACTTACTGACTGATAATCTTATCTATGGATACCATGCTTGAATTTAGGTAAACAACATAGCACTTCCTCACCAGTCACGTTGAACGCGATCGCCGAATGATAAAACAATGTGGGAACGCGCGCGCACAGCATTGCGCGCTGATACTCTAAATACTGTGCGCGTTTCGTCCGGAACCTGGGGGAGTTCCCGCTCTAATATATCTGACGACAGTGATCACTCATTATGAGAACTAATCCCGACCACTTTCCTGGTCGAACCGTACCCAAATCAAACTAATTTATAAACCACGTGTATAGCCAACGTCCTTGCGGTGCTGAGCCGATGTAAAACTCTTCTGTCTCTTGTTAATATTTTAGTTGTACTGTGCATAAAAGTGTGTAGTGACAAGTGTGTAGTGGTAATGTATATTATTTATTATGACGACGTGATAACTGATAACTGATATTTATAATTCAGAATTAAAAGCTGCTTTCGATATGACTGGTGGTGGGCTCTCTCCGGCGGGACATAGATCTATATAGGGGGTACCCGGGGTACGAGTTAACGAACAGTGTTCGTGTCCTTCCACAACCCCCTGTTACCTGTGTTTCTGTCGGGGTAGCCTAATTCATCCGTTAGAATCGCAGAGTTAGCGGAGCTCATGATATCTCGCGACGTATGCTGCATGAACGGTGCAAGACTTGCGCCGTTTGTTTCAGCATCCAGTTGCGAGTGCTTGCCCATCGAAAACATGATTAGTGATTGTGGATTTTATTGATATTACTGATTATCCATCATATTCAGTATTAATGTTATCCATTATTTATTTATCGACATCCTTCAGTCTCCAAAACGAGGTGTGAAGGTAAATTAACTCTGAGCCTTGTTTTGGCGACTGCTTAATCGATGGGCAAGTAGGTATTTGTTTTTTAGCAGTGTTGAACATTGAAACAATTATAAAATGTTTATTTTTATCTTATATAACGTACAATATGAATGACATATGCTATAGTGACGTAACATATATAGTGCAAAGAATTAGTAACTTGCGAGATGTGATTTAGTGATAATCGACGTTAACATTTTGCAGTTTACAGTTGCGCAATGTTGGCGTCGATTGTTACTAACATTTATCTGAATTTAATACAAGTACATGTCACATATAAATTGGGTAGCTGAATGAAACTCGTGCCTCAAAACTTTCCGTTATTAGCATTGCAGTGTCCACGCCCTGTACTGCGTTAACGACCGAAATTTTCCCAATATGCAATTATTATTTTGCTTCTAAAATTCTCTGATAATTAATAATATATCGTGACATGTAATTGTAAGATAACAAACCTCGCGCGCGGTGCTTACATCTGCACCTGAGAATCTCTCAGCAATGTGTGGCTGTCTGCGCGGCGGGCTGTGTATTGTGTATATGGTCAAGTTCGGAGACAACCTGTACATTTTTTACTTTTTTAGAAGTGTGTGGTGGAGCCAGCTCAACACAGAATGAAACTCCCTGATTATATGGCTGACAAGACATTTTTCAGGACTTTCTCTGAGTAAAAAAATAAAATTAAAAGGTTGAACGGTTGAGCAGATACAGGTGGTATTAAACAAACCCTTAAAAGGTGGAGATTTAAGGTGGAGACTGGCTCTGGTTGAAGAAACTTTTGATTAAGGTGAAAAAGGTTATTGGTAACACAAACTACATCAAATTTGCAATCTGATGGTTTTATCAATATTTTATTTAAGTGCTCAACCGAGGTGGAGAAATTAAATGCACTTTTCAAAGCTGCTCAACCGGGGGTGGAGAAAGTTTTAGAGAGTTCTAGGTTAGCTAGAAAGTTGCGTCTCGGCCTTTTCTACTTCCCGTTAAATTTTGTTTTTTCCATTGACGCTCAACAGGGTGGAGATCTTTCATTAAGAAACAGTAAAAAGCCTGTCAAACATGCCTAAATTCATTAGTTTTATCACTAATTCTAATCTGCTCTGTTAACTGCTACTGTAGGGGATCATAAAACTGTTACCCCTTCTGTCTTAAAGCAAAGTGTTCTAGCAAATGAAAAAACTATCAAAGTTGTGAAAAGGTGCTCAACAAGGTGGAGAAATTGTTGAATAAACATTAAAACATTAAAAATGCATTAAAAATGGCCCCACCGGGTTGAGTTGAGCTTTGGCAGTTGATTTCTGGAAGAAATAACATCGGGTGACCCTTTAGCATGTATACAACTCATCAAACTAGCCATCAACCACTCAACCACGGTGGAGAACCTTGACTTCTGAGGTCAAATTTACGCCCAAATTTGCCAAATTTGAGTCTCCACCTATGTTGAGTGTACTTTTCAGCAAGGATGCCTTGTAATATGAGTTGGTAGATGATTTAGAATCATTGGTATTGCAAATGGACTGCCACAGTCACTCTACAGCTCCTAAACTACAGAATAACAGATTTTGAACTGCATGTTATGCAGTCTCCACCTCGGTTG